CCTATCTTGAGGAGTTTGCCCCCTCACATATACTAATGTGCCACAAACAGGACTTTAATATCACCAACCATTCCCATGTTATTACGGTGTATCCATATAAATGGCCCACCCTGCACATTTGTACACTGGGCCAGAAGATCTGACTTTATGTGTACTACTATACGGACAAAATATATCTATCTCTATATCTATCTATCTATCTATATATATATATATATATATATATACATATACACACATACATATAAATGTATAATATACATTGCAAACCCACAACAAAAGATACATTATTTTATTTATTGCCACCATAATCTATAAGATTATATCATAATTTAAAGGTAGATTTATATTTTGTTTTCAAAATCTATATGTGCTAAATAATTAGTATATAAATCTTTTAAATAAATATACTGGAATGAACCCCCTGCTCTCCTTTAGACTCATTCCTGCAGGTATGTCTTCTAGGAAGAAAAATGGTGAACTGCTACAGTCAGCAGCAAACCAGAGCCAAGCACCAAGCACCACAAATATACACTGGAACCAGCTTTCCTCACCCTTGGTATGGGAGTATCCTTCAGCAGTCACCTTCCACTGGACCACGACACCCAGCAGGGTGAGGGCAGGCCACACCCCGAGGACCACCCATGTCATCCAGCACACAGGCTTTCCAGACTCTGCTTTAATCCGTTCATACATGTACAGCACAAGGGCAAAGAGCTCCACGAAGTAGTCCAAAGCCACCGTGATGACGGCTGCCCCGAACACCGCTGTAGACAGCGTTGTAAAGAGACGCTGCCACTGCAGGGTGAGCACAGCAAACAGCATGCCCAGGCCAAGCAGCACGCCCAGGGGCACCCAGACAGAGCGCGGCGGGCTGTCAGAAAGCTCCTCCATGCCGACCAGGGTAGCCACGGCCACCAGCAGGCCAAGCAGCAGGCCCACCATGAAGAGGCCCACGCTCCGAACCAGCATGGTGACCAGGCCGCAGAGCGTCCCGATGCCCAGGCCAATGCCCACTGAGGCCTCCACGCTCAGCTGGGTGTCCAGCACGCGCTCCTTGTAGCAGAGCATAAAGATAACGACGGAGCCGAACATCAGGCCCGTAAGGAACATAACCGCCTTGAAGCAGCGATATCCTGAAAAAAAGAGCCAGAAACACATGACCTCAACAACAGGTCTTAAATAGAACAAAGAACAACTGCTGCTGCTGCATTAACATCACCTGTTCAACTCACCAAAGAAACAGTAAATGATGCCAAAGAGACAACACATCGAGCAGACAACGGAGGGAACCACTTTGTAATGCCCACGAGCGGCCTCGCAGCCGTCCATCCGATCAGGGCCCAGCTCCAGGTCAGGCTGTGCCAGCATCGTCTCCAGTGTGGTTGTCATCGTGAACAGGTAGTAGAGAAAAGGAAGGGGAAGAAGGACAAATGGAGGAGGAGAAAAGGTGATCAGGAGGGAGGTGAGGGGCAAGAGAGGTTATGGAGCACTGTCCAGGTCCATGGTTTTACCTGTTGATAGAGAAGAAGAAAAGGGATAAGGGAACAATATAGGAGTTGAAGTTAAGCACTGTAGAGCCCACCAAATGGAGGTCTGCATTAGCTGTGAAACCACCCTCAAGGTTTTAAAACTGATATGACGCATGCATTATTGAAAACAGTAATACAAACCCAAGAGGGTATGAAGATGCACAATATGCAGTGAAACTTGTTCGCAGCTGACTATATGCTGCATTAAGGGATAGTAAAGGCAGATGCAAGGTAAAAAAAAAAATATATATATATATTTATTTATTTATTAGGGGTACAACAATACTTGTATCGGTATTGAACCGTTCGATACAGTGCTTTCGGTTCAGTACGCATATGTATCGAACAATACAAAAAATTGTATTTATTTTATCAACTTTTCTTCTGACGATGCTGTCTGTGTTGAGCGCTCAGTGAATCTGCGTT